GAAAGGAAAGGAAGGGAAGGGAAGGGAAGGGAAGGGAAGGGAAGGGAAGGGAAGGGAAAGGAGCTCTGAGATGCTCTGTCAGGCCCAGGAGTTAGATGGTGTCAATGGAGGATCTGCCACGTAGGTCTCTTGCTTCTTCCAATGTGTGAACTTTCCTGCTGGGGAGTACCTGATGAGCTAGAAGAATATGATACCGTAAACACTGAAATCGCACCATAGATTTGAAGAGTGTCCAGCACCAGTAGGAATGACATGAGGATAACTACATAATGGGGAACACCCCAGAATGTTCTCAAAGACGGCAGTTCGCAGGAGGATGAGGCACAGCTTGCAGAGAGAACCAGGGGAGCAGCAGCACCCAGTGACACCTACAGTTCCCCTTTTGAAACTCAAGCTCAGCAGATTTTGGTCTCTTATCATCTTCTCTCCCCGTACCCCTAAAGCTGTTGCGTTTTAGGTCCGGGTTTTAGTAAGGTGCAAGTGTCTCTAATTTTTCTGCCTTCCCCATCCCTGTTCCCGTTATTGCTATTTGACGTTGATTTTAGGGCAGATGCCAAATTGGTTTGGGGTCACATTCAGTGACAGCTGGCTGGATGTCAACAAGGATTCTGAAGTTGGATCAGAGTTTAGGGTAGAGAAGTTCCACAAATGGGGAGGGAGTAGAAAGAAGCAATATGCACACCAGGGGTTTGCCATCCCAGTCCTAGGGCACTATCGAACAGGGAGAGCAGAAAGTGGCGTCCTCCATCTTGTTACCTAAATAAGAATCAACTGAAGTTATTTTCATTTCACTTTCACCCAGAGCCTGAAACGGTAGGGTTTCGGATCATGTTCCACAGTGGTTTGAGCTCAGTATCTTGAGAGGAAGGGAGAGGTAAATATCCTAGCAGTGCTCCAACCTTCTCTCAAACCTGTTGATATCTGATATCTGATACTAAATCTTTCGTCCTAACCTTGGAAGAGGCAGGAGGAAAAGACTATTTAAAAAGTCCCTCCAACGTCAGTGCCTTCCAGGGGTTATTTCAGAGGTAATTTAAACTTCTGAAACCTGCGTTACAACTGCATCATCCTAATTTAGCATGCTGAATGGCTGAGTTGCCCTCAGGATCGGATAGCTAACCCGGAGTCTCGGATTTGTGCCTGGGGAATTGGAATGTGCTGAGGAACCGCCGGCGGCTTTGACCTGCCCCCAGGAGAATGTCCTCAGTGGCAGAGACTCCACCACACCCATAGCCAGCAGCTATTGTCATGGCAAATCCATCTGAGTGTCCTGTTTGAGGCATTCTTTTTCAGAGAAACTAAAGCCTGGCCTGTGATTTTTTTACTTACCGTGAAAATGTGTGTGCTGAGTGTATGCACTATGAAAACATCTTGGCCTAGCCAGCAAATTCTCCTTGAATGCTTTCCATAAGCAGATGTATCCATTGGACTCCCCACTTGGGAGGAGACAGGACAAAATCACCCTCAACAAATAAATACCTTAAAGATACCACTTGGTGCACCAAAGAAAGTACAATGTTGGGAACAAGGACACGGTTTCCCTTGGTATCCAGAGAGGCTTCTTGGAGGAGTTGGCATTAACATTTCAACTAGGGTGAGGCGAGGAGATGGGCTTTGTGTTGTGATACTTAGGGAAAACCCTTTTAACCCAGAAAAGCAACAAGAGCAGACCTGTCCGGTGCATGGAAGGAAAGCTGGTGAGCTAGGAGCAAAGAGAAGGCCCAGAGGCTGGTCCTTTCCGATGTTTGTTCAATTATGGAGGTTGTCGGTGGTTTCTTATAATCTTGTAAATATTCATCGCACTTCCTGGAGTGTTTTGCATTTGCTTGGTTATACTGAACTGTCGGGAGAGAGCATGAAGAATTCTGTAAGCTTAAGGCAAGCTGCCCCCTGGCACCATCTCCCTGTAGAGGAAGCTGTGAGGCCCAGGTGGGACAGTCTCTGCTCTGTTGATGGGGTGGAGACTGGGACATCAGGACACCGCCCACAGCTGACCCTCTCTCTGAAGGACCTGAGGATGACCTTCCTCCCCACCTGGCCCCTGGCTAGGCCGACTTGGTCCCTCTGGGAAGCCTTCTGTGATGACCTGGCTGCCATCCACACCTCTGTGCATCTTCCTGGCCTATTGGACATCATATCCCGGACAGGGTAGCTGTTTTCTTCTTCACCGTCCTCTGAATTGATTCAAATGCTTTGAACGAAGAAACTATCAATTACTCTTGAAGTACTTTCTGGTGAAATGGGTAACAAAATCTACCATTGTAACCATTTTTGAACGACCCGTTCTGTGGCAAGGAGTAGACATTAGTATGTAATCATCACCACTGTCCGTCTCCAGAACTTATTTTTATCCCATTTGGGAATTCCATACCCATACAACCACAACTTCCTATTCTCTCAGCTTCCAGGCCGCTGGAAAGCACATTCTGCTTTCTGTCTCTATCCCCTTGATCACTGTAGGTACTTCGTGTGAGCGAATTATGCAGTATGTGCCATCTTATTTCATTTGGCATGTCTTCAAAGTTCTTCTGTGTTGTAGAGTGTTGTAGAGTTCAAATTTCCTTCCTTTTTAAGGCTGAATAATATATGCATTGACCATTATGTGCTACATTTGTTTAGGCATTCACTTGTCAGTGGACATTTGAATTGTACCCACCTTTTGGTTAGCAGGAATAATGTTGCTGTGAGCATTATGTGCAAATATCTTTCCAAACGACCCCTTCCAACTCTTCAGGGAATAGAACTGCAACTGTAGTTATCAAATCATTTGGGAAAATCACTTTAACATCTCGAGGCACTTTTACTGTTTTTTTGGAATGGTCACTGGATTCAAGCAAAAGGTCACCTTAGGATCGGAGATGGCACAGCAATGTAGGCTGAGATGCCACAGTGTTACTCTTGTGATTTGGGTGATGCTGCCTTTGTTGATGCAAAATTATTTCAACTGTGGTTTCCTTTTTCCTTACAGCATCAAGCTCCTAGCTGTGCAAGAGCTACTTGACAAAGAGGCCCTGGAAAAGGTAAATGTTTTGCCCTGCCCGCCCCTCATTTACAGACCAGAGTGTGCACATGGGGGAAATCCGCTGTCACCAGAGACAGAGTATGCTGCAGAGACAGTTATTTTCTATTCCTGGTCATTGGTGAGCCGTGCAGAAGTTTCACAGAAACTCCCCATCTTGCTCATGTTCCACCCACACTTGCTGGGCTCATTAGTGCCACATGAGCCAGGCCTGGCCCTGAGAGCCGCACTCTAGAGAGGGCATTCACGCTTCTCAGCACCAGCCACAGGGGCCTCGGTGTTTCGGCCCTGTACCTGTCCCTTTGTATTTGGGGGTATGGATGATTGGGGGAAGCCCCGCAAGGCTCACTGCTTGCCCCTGGTGACTGAACTAAGGGAAGAGTGCCGATTGGACTCCCATAGTTCCACTTCCAAAGTGGGTGCTTTTCTGCTCAGCAGGAAATTTGGTGAGTTTGTGCCCCCCAGCCTACTTCTGAAACTGAGACACTTCCTTCCCACCCCTACTCATGTTTGCCTGGGGCCTGGAAGAGACTTCTGGTGTGTGTCTACTTTCTGTGTTCAGGGCCAGCCCCAAACAGGACTGTGTGCTGGTTGGGGATTCTGGTTCATTGTGCGAGGTGGGGTGGGCTCTGGAAGCTGGCTAGGTGGGGCCACAGGAGCCACACTCTTCGGGCCATCCCACTGGCCTCCCACGGAAAGCCAGGCTGCTCCCTCACAGTAGCTCAGGACTCAACCTGAGGATGTAGCTCTGAGTATTAATTAGAATCCATAGCACTGGAAAGAGAAGCACCCAAAAGCTGTTATTTTATTTCTGAAATTTAAAATATTTGGTGAGTTCATTGGCACTAAAATGATTAAAGTCTTTAAAATCAGCACCAAGCAGTGATGGGAGGGGAGCAAAGGGCCTGAGCTTAGGGTTTGTATTTTATATCCTCAGCGGCTTCTCCATCCTGGGTGGCACAAGGTGGGTGCTGCTGCCCAGCCTCAGAGAGGCAGAAGAAGAGCCAGAGACCTAATGCAACAAAAGGGTTTCCTAAATGCCAAAGTACTCTGCTCATATTAATTCTTAATTACTTATATTAATTCTTAATATGCATTCAACCCTTAAAGCCTTTTAGGTCTGGCTATAAAATTGATCTGTGAGCAAAATGACAACATTGGATGCAGATGGTAGATTAGATGAAAGTATTATATCACTGTGAACTTTTCCTGAAATTGATCACTTGCCTACGATCCTGTAAGAGCCTGGCCTTGCTCTCTTAGGAATTATATGCAGTTGTTTTTAGGAATAAAAGTGACTGGGGCTTATTGCTTGTTTTCCCAAGTGATTCAGAGGAGAAACGCAAGCTTCTGAATCCTACCATCCCTGCTCGCAGCCGGCCTCATGATATTTGAGTGTTGCTCCCCAGCTCAGTGGATGGCCAGAAGAAAACTTTACAAAATGATCCCGATGAGCACCAGGGCTTCCTTCACATAGCTTTCTTCTTCCTTCTGCACCTTCATTCATTCATTTATTCCTGCCACAGGTATTTGCTGAGCTTTCTGTGTGCCAAGCAAGTAGCAGACTTTTCTGGAAAAAAATTCAGAAGCAGCCAGTCATCATAAGTGTGGTGGCCAGTTGCCCTGTGAGTGACACGTGGTTCACTGCCTGGGGCAGCACTGTTTTTTGCAGTGAGATTGTCCAGTTGCTACGCTGACATAAGTGTGGCCCCTGCAGAGCCCTGTGACTGACAGAGTCCCCTCCTCTGGACACATTGCAGGGCCGCTGAAAAAAGATCTTCACGAACTGTGGAGCTTTGCTACTCAAACGTGTTGGAAATACAGTCTCGGCCCCCAACCCAGACCCCTCAAATCAGAGCCACTTTCTATAAAGACTCCAAGTGACATTTTATGCATTAAAGTCCAGGAAGCAAAGTGAAAGGGAAAGAGCCAGGGAAGAGGGGTCCAGGGACAAAACACCCTGTGATCCACTTCCTTCAACTAGACCTCACTTCCTGCCTTTCCGTTTCTTCTCAGTAAAGCCATTAAATTATGATCTCATCAGTGGATTAATCCATCAAAGTCCTAATGGTCCAATCACTTCCCAAAAGCCCATCAGCAACCAAACATTCAACACCCTGAGCCATTCAGGGGACGTCCTGGATCCCAGCGGAACAGTACTTTACCTATTTGGACCAGAGACTGCTCCACTTTGAGAAATGCTGAGCTTTGCTTGCTTTGTGCAGAACCTGGAGCCAAGTCCACCCCCAGCCTCACCCTTTTGTAGCTGTGGGAACTGGCAGCAGGGCTTCCCTGCGGGTGCAAGTCCCATTTCCTCATCTGTAATCCTTGCCATCCATCCTTCCCTCCCATTCTTACCCTAGGGTTCTGTTTTTGTGTGCTAGTTTGTTTTGGGGTTTTTTTGGGGGGGTACCGGGGATCTAACTCGTGTCCTTGTGCTTGCAGGGCAGGTGGTGGAACCACTGAGCTAAATCCCCAGCCCCCCTAGGGTTCTGTTTTTAACAAGAGTTTTTAACAAGGCCTTGCTCACATGACAAAGAGGGGACATCTACTCTAGGTTTTGCTGTTTTCTCTTCTTGTATCTGCGCCCCTTGCCGGGTTTCAGAGTATTCACGATTCATCTGCCTTATGGGGAGAGGTGAACGGTGAAAACATACCCAGTGACCTGGATACACAGGCCAGCAGGTGCCACATTTTACTTCTTACTGTTTATCTTAGTTGAGGGGCAGATATCTGAATTTCTCTTCTCTACTAATACTACACAGAGCCAGTTCCAAACTAGAGATGGATTTATTACTTATCCAAAGCATAAATTCCAAATCATACAATTAACATAAATTTCTCTGTCAATTTCTTACTTCAAAAAATTATTAGAACCATGAGCAGGGGATCTAATATGTGTGACTGTCAGGATGTGTGACATTTATGCTACAAGACTGTTTGGAGTTTAGAGGTCCTTTCTCATTGCGTGTACCTTAGGTCCCAAGAGCAAGGATTCACTCTGCAGAGAATGCGTGTCATCCAGCTTTGTGCGCTCCCTTAGAGGGTGGGACCCTTTGTTTTTCTGAACTTGAGTCACATGGATTTGTTTCCCAGGCTTTAATGCCTTTAAATGTGGCATGACATGAAAGGAAACAAAAATATTGGTACAGCTTGATTTAGAAAGATCATTTTTCAGTGGCCCTTTCAAATGGCTTCCTACGGAGCTGCAGACAATGGTTTGGCCTCATGCTCCAGCAGAGGGTCGCCTTCATCCTGGTGAGGCCAGCTGAGACCAGCACCTGCCTGAGCAGCTGCCCACATGAGCTGGGCCTCCAGGGGCACAGGCCATCCTGCTCTGACCACTGCCTGTTCTGCCCTGGCCGCTGTTCATCCCAAATCAGCCAAGTACCTGCTTCGTCCTCTGGAACTGAGCTCTGAGGACCACAGGCTTTGGCAAATTTGGGTCTGCTGTCACTTGCAAAAGGACTTGTTGGACAAGTGACCCACCGGCCCCACATTCTTTCCAACATGCAGGGTCACAATAATACCTACATTGTTGGAATTTTTACAATGAAAATTAAGTGAAATAAAAGAGATTATGTACGTAGTAGATGGCATTGTGACAGCACCTTTTACTATCCTACTGTTATGGCCACCTCAGCTCCCACCCCGTTTCCCAAACCACACACTTGGGGTCAACCCTGGCACCTCACTGAGGGGCATCAGGATGGGGTGTAGCTCAGTGGTAGAGCACTTATCCAGAATGCTCAAGACCCAAGGTTTGATTCTGTATCACCAACAGTGATGACAATAACAACAAAATGTGCATTTTCTTCTGAGGCTCTGAAAATCATTACAAGATGCCATATTTAGGGGCTCCTCTACCTTTCTGTCTCAAGGCAAAGCTTTTATTTGAAGTAAGCAAGAATAGAGCACCCAAATAGGACTTCTGAATCACCTTTAGCTTTTTCTGCTATCACAGATAAGCAATTAAACAATAAGGAGTCAGTTTAAATTTATTAGTAAAGTTTTAAAAGGCATAATGTATAGTGCTGAAGTCATGCTGCTTGTAGTTGTGCTGGTCCCCATCCATCCTTGGCCGGGGCGGGCACATGAGGGGTGATGGACCCCTCACACGCTCCTTTGCAGTGGGTTTCCTTGGTCTTTGAGGTGATCAGAATTCCGTTCCTGGAAGTGAATCTTGAAGAAATGATCCTTAGATGTAGAAAAATGATAATTGTGCTATGGTGTACTTTGTAATTATGAAAATTGGAAGGCGGTTCTGTGCTTTGTAGGAAGGAGGTGATAAAAATGGCTGAAGTCAGTCTATCTGAAGGTTGGTCCAACGCCACCAAAAATTAACCACTGAGCTAAATCCCCAGCCCTTTTGTTTTGTTTTGTTTTGAGACAGGGTCTCACTACGTAGTTCAGACTGACCTGGAACTCACAGTGTAGCCCAGGCTGGTCTCAAACTCACAGCGATCCTCCTGCCTCAGCCTCCCAAGTGCTGGGATTACAGGCATGCACCACCACTCCTGGCTCAGTATGACATAATCTTTACCCAAAATGAGAATAAGCACTTGTACCTTCTGTGATGGCAGCTGTGTACAAACATGTGACCATTCTTTGAATCAGTGTCTATTGGGTACACCTCCTATCAGGCTGGGAGAAATCCATATCTTTAAGAAAGATGTTTCCTGCTGGAGGGTCACTCATGTTGTAACTGGTGAGGAATAATGGGAGTCAGCATAAGGGTCATTTAAATATAGTAGTGATAGATAAGCGTCAAAAAACCCAGAAAAAGCAAGTTGTCATAGGTGGGCTCTAACTAATGTTCTCACTGCATCAGTAGAAGGGTGTGTGTGTGTGTGTGTGTGTGTGTGTGTGTGTGTACATAAGAGATGTGATTGAAAAATTATGGTGTCTAAGTAACAAAATTATTACAGTAAAAGACACTTTGTCATGAATCCCCCTCAAAACTCTCCCCTTGCTTCTGACACACTTACCCCATTGCTCTTG